ATGATTGGCAGCTCAGCAACACACTGGCTTAAAAATAAAATGAAAGCACAGCAAAACGGGAAACAGACTCTTCAAAACTAGCATTTCCGAAGGGATGTGGACAAGCTTGAGAAGTGGGCCTCTGTGAACCTTATGAGGTTTAACAAGACCAAGTGTTGCGCTTGTGTCATGGCAATCCTGGATTTGTACAGACTGGGAGAAGAACTGAGTGCAGGCTTGTGGAGAAGGACTTGGGGGTCCTGGTGGACAAAAGCCAGGATGAGCCAGGAGCGTGAGCTTGCAGTCAGGATGGCCAACTGTATCCTAGCCTGCATCAAAAGAAGTGTGAACAGCATGGTGGGGGGGAGGGATTCTTTTCTCTGCCCTCATGAGGCCCCATTTGGAGTACTCCACCCAGTTCTGGGGCTCCTAGCACAGGAAAAACATGGTTCTGTTAGAGTAATGGGTCCAGAGGGGGGGGCATAAAGATGATTAGAGAACTGGAGCATTTCTCCGATGATGAAGGGTTGAGGGAGCTGGACATGTTTAGCTTGGAGAAGAGAAGGCTCTGGGAAGACCTCATTGTGGCTTCCAGTACTTAAAAGGAACTTATGATCAGGAGGGAATTTTTACATGGCCTGATAGTGACAGGACAAGAGGGGATGGCTTTAAAGAGAAAGAGGAGAGTTTTAGACTGGATGCTAGGAAGAAATTTTCATTGTTATGATGTTGAGATCCTGGCACAGGCTGTCCAGAGAGGTGGGTGCTTCTGATCTCTGGAAGTGCTCAAGACCAGGTTGGATTGGGCACTGGGCAGCCTGATCTGGTGGTTGGCAACCCTGCCCATGGCAGGGGTATTGGAACTAGGTTATCTTTAAGATCCCTTCCAATTCAAGCAATTCTATGATTTTGTGATTCTTATCTACTGAAGACCTATAATCAACACAATAGCAATGACCTCTGCCTCAAGGTGTTTTGTTCCTCTTGCATTCTCTATCTTGCATGCTTTCCTCAGCCTGCCTGGGGGTGGGCACAGATACTACTCCCCTGTTTTCTTCCTCAGACATCTACTTCTTCACTATGCCTTTTCACACCTGCTCCATCTCTGGACTGTGTTTTGTGGTGATTTGGTACCCTTTGAAAGGTGTAGAAATGGCTAATTGGGTAGTGCAGCTGAGGCCAGGCAAACAGGTATTTTGGGATGAACCCACCAGCTCCCTAAATGCTTAGGAGCTGGATTTTGGATTTTTTGCTCTTTTTTTCTTTTTTTTCTTTTTTTTTTTTTTTTTTTTCTTCCCTTTCTTGACTGCTCTTTATCTCTTTATTCTGTGTATTTGGACAAGAAAAAATCCCACAGGACTGTTTACCTACTGCAAGTGAATACAGATAAATCCTTTACTCTCCTCAGCAGCTTTATAGCTGTAATATGATGCAAACAGGATTTGTTGGGCAGCAGAGGAATGACAATGCTTGTTGGCACCTGGTATAGAATCTGAGTCAGGGCTTTGAGCATCAAAGCAGTGCCCCAAGGATGAGGCCAAAATAATGAAAATTCATCTTAGCTCAACAAGACAAGAGAGGAACTTAATTCTGCAAAGACTTAGCCCCGGATCTTCCTATGAAAGGCTTTTGTGCAGTGCTTTTGCCCAAGGAGTGTAACTCCCTGCTAACTGGTAGAGAAGTCACTGGAGCTTTTTAGCCATCATGCTCAATGTGCAAGCACCGAGCACTGCCAAAAGCAAGCCTTGTGAGTTACCTGGGAACATCCCAGGATCATATGAATAGGCACCTCACTGAAGCTATCCCTATGATTAACATGCCCTTGTGCGGGCAGATGATACTCAGTAACCCTTGCCATCTCAGACTCGCTGCTCGTAAATGGCCTGTTGTGTCTGTTGCTTCTTACTTTTAGTTCTGAATAAAACAGCAAAATCAAAACCCAGTGTTGTTGGAGGCCCAAGAGCAGAAGGCAGTAATTGAGGTGAGGTCCCACAAGAGCAGGGTAGAAGAGGAAAATCACCTCCCTCAACCTGCTGTTAATTGAAGGTCCAATTACTCAAAGTGTATGCAGATTCCTTTTTTTCTCCCTTTAGTGCAGTTTAATAAATTCACTTAATTGCCTTGAAAGATGTTAGTGTAACAATTTGCCTGCTAGAGGAAAATATATTGTCTTATACTCTATAAGAAAGGTCATGTTCTTTCAGACAACTGTGATTATTTCAATATGTAGACTTCTTGTATAAGCTCAAGACCATGGTATTTTGGAACAGCAGGAAATCGTTTTCCCTGCTCACTACTTTCCACCACTACTGGCTTGCATTTAGTAACGGCGCTCCGTGCTGTATGCTCAAAGGTGCCAGAAGGAAAAGTTCAGATGTAAAAAGTTTGGAGTTGCAGAGAGAGGTGCTTGCTGGACATTATCATAGCTTTTAGCGTATCATTATCATTCATTGCATTTAGTTAATGCGCTATTATTTTAGTCCCTTATTAAATTTGAAAATCAAATATCAGACTGATTGTAGCGTCTGCTGCCCAACAGGTATCTGATTAGCTTGCGTAGGGCACCCAGCAGGAGCTGCAGCAACAGCACAGATCGTTGTGGCAAGACTGCCATCTTGTGGGAAGTTCCTGCAGCGTGTACGGGAACGGTGCCTACCTGCTGCACGCCTGCAAGAAACTTCCCTTCCTCACGTTATTTTTCGTGGCGTTTTGTTAAAAGTAACATTTTCATTTCTGAAAAGGCGCTACAAAAATAGTGATTTCCTTAACTAGGAACAGTGGGTAGCGTTAAATCTTCCTAATGCTGTTGTCTTGGTTCCACAAAATGTCTGAAATCAGACACGAAGTATTTCCTAAATCTGACGGAATCAGGAGCTCCTTTCTCCTCCACGTGAATAGAATATAGTTGAATATTCATGCTCTCATAATTTCTCTTGATATGTAGTTTATATTTCAAGATCTGCTTTCAGCTGCAGCTTTAACAGTCTTTATTATAAAATTTCCATTTCTTGAGGTCCTTCCTATAATTGGTTAATTACTGTCCCTGGTTTGTTTCTTTTTTGTTGTTGTTTTTCTTTAAATAATTGAACTTGCATGTTACATCCATAAAGAAAATTGCTGATCGTTACCAGGAGTACAATTGGGAATAAATCTCTGTTAAGGAACAAGCTGAAGTTCGGTGTTTTATGCAAATGCCTATTGTTGAAAAGATGTCTTGTGTAATCAGGAATTAAACTGACAAGTGAAGAATCATTTAATTAATGAGAATAGAGCAATCATTTAGATGGTTCGTTCTATCACTGAATAAAAGAGACAAAATAGCCCTGCTTAGGGATTAGAGCTGCTGCTGAAATAGAAAAAAAAAAAAGCCCCAAAATGTTGTTTGGTTACTGCCTTCTGTAATTAGTATAGCAGCTTCTAAATATAAAGAAATATATGCCAAATGTTTGAGATTGTACATTACATTACATTAATGTACATTAATATTTTGTTACCTTTTAAGAATTTACACATGATTTTTGTTGATCGGAAATGCTACCTCCTGCCCCTGTGAATGTAAATACTTGGGCCCAAGTATTCCCCAAAGTCCTATTGCAGATGCAAGAGGAGTGAGTCCTGGAATTACAGTGAATTATGTCTGCAAGCAGTGTATTCCATAATGCAGATCAGCATACGAATCATGTTCACAGCCACAGGGGAATACTTTTGGTAGCAAGGGACCTCTGGAGGTCTGTAGCCCAGCCCTCTGCTCGAAGCAGGCCCGGTTAGGTCAGGTTGCTCAGGCAACCTTTGAATAGCACCAGCCACAGGATCCCACAGTTCTCTTCCAGTGTTTGACCTCCCTCTTTGTAAAGCATTCTTCTTTTTATCTTGTCGGAACTGCTCATGCCCAAGCTTGTCCCTTAAAGCAGAACAAAGAGTTTTCGGTCCTTGACCAATCCTGGCCTCCTTCGGAAGCTTCAGGATGTGCAATTTCCGACAGCAGCATCCCAGACTGCTGGTGGTTTGTGTGCACTTGAATTTTTTTGCATGCTGTGTCCAATGATTGCACGAGAGATTGTTTGCCTTCCAATGTTGAAATGAAAAACAAATTTATTATGTGAAGGAAAACATTCCTTTTGTTTTATTCTTTTTAAATGTAATCACTGAGTTTATTATTTTGGGTAATCAGAAGCACCCAGCTGCCACTCGAGGCACTTCTGGATGTTTGTTTAAATTTAAAAAAAACCTCAGGAATTTATTGAGATTAATAAATTAACCAAACATGAAAATCTTCTAAACAAAATTTAATTTCTCAAACTGCTCATCCCACTGGAAGCCTAGCAAAAAAACCTAGACCTTGCAAGCTGCCCAGCAAATCCTCAGCAGCAGGCTGGCTGTGTAAGTGCAAGGACAAGTGAGTTCCACGACAAAGAAGCTTCCCCTGGAGATTTCTTGCTAGCAAATTGCATGTTCCTGGCGGGCAGGATTAGTTTAAGTCATAGCTGTTTGCAGCTAAAGTGGTTCTGTTCTGCTCTCTCCAAAGCAGCAGGTAGGTAACCAGGTAACGATCAGCTTGCAATCAGGTAACATGTATCCTGTGGTACATCAAAAACTCTGTTTACCTTTTTCTCTCTTTTTTCTTTTTAAATTTGAAATGTCTATTCTCCAACTATTAAAATCCAAAATATAATTTTCAAGTATCTCACACACTACAGGAGTCAGTTGCTATAGTCTGCAGCAAAAGCCAGCTAAGAAAATAAAGTATATTAAATCAAACATTTTCATTCAGAGTTTAAAGAGATTTGTGCGTACTTTTGTTCATTTAGAGTATATCGTGGGTATCCGTAGCTCAATCCTATACACAGTCCTATATTCAAGAGGTCATTTGTGCTAGACCCAGTACCTGGGTTCTCCAGCTGCTCGGCCTTCCCAGGCACATGGAAGGATGTGAGCACTCAGGTTATGTCCTCGTGCCTTTGCACTTTGGTGCCATCTCCGCTGCCCCAGTGTAATCCCTGACTTTTTGCTTTCTCCTCAAGGATTCTGGAGCTGCAACAGAATGGTGACATGGACATACTGAAGCATAAGTGGTGGCCAAAGAATGGTCAGTGTGATTTTTACTCATCTGTGGATACCAAACAGAAAGGAGGTGCCCTGGACATAAAAAGCTTTGCAGGTGTTTTCTGCATTCTCGCCGCTGGGATTGTCCTATCTTGTTTCATTGCAATGTTGGAAACGTGGTGGAATAAAAGGAAAGGCTCCCGGGTTCCATCAAAAGAGGTATTAGATCCTCCATTTCTCCTGGGAAATTTTCATGCACCGTAAACACTGTTGTCATGAATTGATAGCTTTTAGGGAAAAAGAGTCAGAGAAACTTCCTTAGCTTCCTAATTTTAAGGTAAATGCCATTCCTCAAAATCTCTTCAACTGCTCTTTCTAGAGGAGCTTTAAATAAAATAATGTATAATGATTATATATAAACATGTAACTATTTTGAGTTAAAACACAATCATTACTTGTAGAATAATGTATTATTAACATCATTATTTAGTACTTTATTGCCATCAGTGAGAGTTAATCCTCACTAGCAAGTTCAAAGGTTTCTTGTTGTTTTTTTTTCTTGCAAAATATATCCTCCAAGCTCAATGGCTGAGTCTCTTAAGATAGATTCTCAAAGTTTAGCCCTTTAATCAGATGTTAGCTTCTTAAATAAGCTTATCTTGATTTTTCACATCTGTTAAACTCTTGGAACTTCCACGAACTTCAGCTGTGATTATTTAATCTGAAGTCCAGGGAAGCAAGAGTAATTTAGATTTTTCAGATTCAGGCCAGCCTTATTTCTGAAATCTATTACAGACTTTTTAAAGACAGTTCTAGACAGAGTGAGGGAAATATGTCATCTTATACCAGAGATGAGTTTGGTTCTGTACCTTCCCAAGTTAACCCACTTGTCCCTTTGCCAGCCATCTGAGCCTTATACACTGTTAAAAAAAAATTCCTTAAGTCTTTTAGCTCTACAAACCACTAGAAAAAACATCAGGAATATTAAAAGTTATTAAAATACACTTGGCAGATGTGCCCAAAGATGAACCTAAATATGAGCTATATAATATGGCACTATCAGTTATGCCTGTTCTGTGTAGCTTAGACTTATGTTGTGGGGTATTGCTGTTAATTTGTGTTCAGTGGTCTCACCTTCTCTGCAATTTCTCCATTGTGTTTATTCCTGCTAATCTAATGCTGTGTAATCAGGTAGGATTAGTTACATTACCTAATTAGACAGCATTGACACTGATGTTAGAATACTTATTATCTTTTCTTGCCTGTTTTAATTCCCAAGCTTTTTGTGTTAATGATCTGGACCAGACCATTATTAAAAGTGAAAAAAAACCTCTAGTCTTTAATTGGCTTTCTCAGGACTGGGAACTGTCTAGTTTCAACTGACGAAATTTAAAAAAAAAAAAAAAAATTTACAAGCTTGCTGTTTACCCAGACCCTTAGAACGTCATACTTCATATTTACTTGGTACAAAACATAAAAATTAGTATCATAGGGGGAAAAAAAAAAAAAAAAACAGCCCAGATACTTTATATAACTATAAAACTTCCCATTTCGACTTTCAAACACATAAATTTTAATGTGTATTTTCCATAAATTGTATAATTTGGCCTCCTTTATCTTTTTTCATGTATTCATCAGCTTAGCATTTAAAATTGTATCTCAAAGCTCCGTTGAAAAGCTTGGCTCAAAACTGAGTTTAACATGGACAAATGTGCTGAATATCCCCACTGTCCTGGATGTGGGGATCATTCAGCAAAGAAATACATCTTAACTAACTTTCTTAAAATTCATTTTAGCTTCCATGAAATCCATTGGCTCTTCCAGGCCACTAGTCCCGAATCGGGGGTCAGATTGGGCCAATTTGTGGTCAGCAAGCCAACCCTTTTTCCTGGTGGCTGCCATCTGGTGCTCCAGAATGCAAGCATTTATACTGAAAAAAATTGTCTTATGGTTACGAAGATTACATTTCAGTCACGTACCAGAAGTAACCCATTCAATGATGTCTGCCTGAGTCTGCAGACAGCCTTAAACAGTAGCTCTGAGAGAAGTATGAACTGCCCCAGTAATCTCAATGGGATGTTGACTCTGAAGCCTGATGATAATTTAAATGTGAAAACTGCTGCATATTTCACTACTGATCACACAAGAGAGAAGAGGAAAGATCATATTATGGAGATGTGCACAATCTTACTGTGAGTGGGTCTCATTTTGGTGTATCAATTGGGTGGAGATTGGGTTGTGGGCTAAAGCATGGGAGAATATCACCGCTTTATTATATTTTTACTGGTCTGACTCTAGCCCCAAATGCATCTCAGAGAAGAATGAAGAATATTCTGGATAACTTATAGAGGCTCAGAAATACTGAAATTCAGATTGGCATTTGAAATTACAAGGTGTTCATATGTTTTTCAAAACTACAAAAAAAAAAAAAAAAAAAAAAATTAGGACTGTCCTTTAGAGATATAGTCATAACTTGCACGTGCTAAAGGAGCCTCTGTATATATTTTTAGATGCCAATGTGGCCCCAGTTCTTCTGCATCCACATGCAGCTCCAAATACTTTAAAGGAGAGCGTTTGGTGAATGCGTTTGGTTTTGGTGTCACCTGTGTGGTTGTTATGTGCATCCATGTCTGTGTCCACATGTGAATAAACTACAGACAGAAAGCTAAGTCCAAGAAATGAGCACTGCTTTTATTCCCCTCCCGTGATGAGCTCACCTACAAAGCCCCTGTGGTCAGCTTGGTTTCCTCTGGCAGAATCCTGATGCCCTTTTCCCTGCCCTTTATCCTGCAGTTTGTCTCACTTGTCCCCTGTCTCAGAAGGGAGCTGCTCCCTCAGTCTCACTTGAGTTGGGCTTTTTATTCAGTGTGGTACTGATGCAAATATTTGGTGATCCTTTTTGTTAAGAAGATAAACTCCTGCAGTTTGTTCTAGGTGGAATTTTCAGAGTGCTTGACTTCATTCCTAGACAAAGGAGGGACCTAAAGCCCATTCTGTATACTAGGAGTTTTGCCATTGATTCAATGAGCTCTGGATCAAGCCAGTCATTGAATTGCAGTAATCGAGTCTGGAAGCCATCAGAGCACATCTATCGGCCGCCTTATTGCCCTCTGTGAGGTCCTAGAGTGTGAGATATTTCTAGTGGCCTGGAAGAGCCAGTAGATTTCACAGAGATTAAGGTAAATGTTAAGGTTAGTTGGAACTGATTTTTGTTCTGAATGAGCTGTGCTGGCTAGACTTGAGAGAATACATTCCTTTATACATGTATACGTAATGCTGCTTTGCATTAAGATTTGCGGTTCAGTAGAAATAAATATGTACAATACAGGTGATTTATTGGGTCACACTGGACATTTTTCTTTTTTAAATTCCCATGCATTTAAAATCTCAATTATAACAAAGAAGCCTCTCTAATGGAGTTCACTGGGTTTAAGAAGGAAAAAGGACAGAGGTAAGAGGAGCGATGCTTTGTTATAATAAATCCTCCAGGCTGCCTTCTCACTCAACAGCAGCATAATTCCAACTGAATCTATGGAATTGCTTCTTTGTAGGTAAGGAGAGAATTAATCCTTCTTTTGGCATCACAATTTAAAATCGTCTGATGTACTCCTTCCTGTGTGATGTTATTGAGATGCCAGTGTTTGGATTTGGGCTTGGAAGCTCAGTTTTTCTGTATTATAAAAGCAAAAATCAACCTGAGAAGATTTTGGCACATCCTTAAGCCCTGAGAGAATGAACACCGATGAAGAAGCAATCTGGCCCCACAGAGACCCCCATTTTGTCATTCAAATTTAGTCATCATTGCTGCATTTAAGGACTGGCATCATCCCAGACATTTGAGATGATGCTCTGTCTTCATTGTATGAAGAAAACCTATCAGTAGTCCTTGGAATTGTGTCATATAGACACAGGGTTTGAAGGCAGATGTGGAAAAGGGTCTGCATGAGTTTGTTTTAGTTCATCCAGCTTCAGGAGGTGGGGATGTTTGCTAGTGATGCTTAGAGCTACCCACAGCTAAGAGGAAGCTTTAGTAAGTGTGTATTTTGTTTACCAAGCAGTTCTGATTGCACTGTAAAGCTTCAATCCTGCAAAAAAACATGGCGGTGGTGGTGAGTGGTACATCTTGTTCTTCTCCTTCCCCAGGATGACAAGGAAATTGATCTGGAACACCTCCACAGGCGCGTGAACAGTCTCTGCACAGATGACGACAGTCCCCATAAACAGTTTTCCACATCGTCGATTGACTTGACCCCTCTGGACATTGACACTTTGCCCACCCGTCAAGCACTGGAGCAAATCAGTGACTTCAGAAACACTCACATCACCACAACAACCTTCATACCAGAACAGATCCAGACGCTGAGCCGCACGCTGTCTGCCAAAGCTGCTTCTGGCTTCTCCTTCGGCAGCGTACCCGAGCACCGAACTGGCCCTTTTAGGCACAGGGCACCAAACGGAGGGTTTTTCAGAAGCCCCATCAAAACAATGTCATCTATCCCTTACCAACCAACTCCAACTCTGGGGCTGAACCTCGGCAGTGACCCAGACCGAGGCACCTCCATATGAGCATCAGACCGAATTTCTTCACTGTTTCTTTTCTAGGACTCCCTTTGCAAGGAGCGGCTGTAATGTTGTGGGACTAACATGGATGTAACCTTTTTCTTTTGTTTTGTTTTTGTTTTTAAAATTTGATTTTTTATTTTTCTTTATTTAAGGAAAGAATCAGGATTATTAGTAACAACTCTTCCTCTTCTCAGCTTTCTCAGTCTGGTCTCCTCTTTCCTTTCTCTCTTTATTCTCTTTACTACTCGAGTCACTTATTCTTTCATTTATCACCGCGTTAGGTTTTGGTTACTTCAGGCTTTTCATATACTTAAATATAGGAAATGTGTAGTGATTAATGCATAAGAAAACCCTGAGGATTACTTTACAGAAGGGCATTGGCTCCTCCTCCCCAACTGCCTTTTTTTTACTATACTTGCAATAACTTAAATCCTTTACATCTATTCTGCTGCGTGTGGTCAGCGCTCCACTGCTGTGTGTCCTTTTAACTGTGGACCAAAGGCAAACCCTGCAGTTTAAAAGACAGAAAGGGAAAAAAAAAAAAAGAAAAAGAAAAGAAAAAAAAAAAAGGCAAAATGGAGAAAAAAGGGAAAAAAAAAAAAAAAAGCAAAATAAATGAAGTTGAAAGACCATTCAGGCCCCATTATATGAGAATGCAATTTTGTAGGATTACAAGAAGCCATTACTATGCCAGTAAAGACTACAGTTAAATCTACTTTTGCACTGCAACAGTGCATGTGACCTTTATGTGATTGTACAGTGTTAAAAGTTTTTCTTATGTACAGTAAACTGTATCATATGGCAGAAGCCTCTGTTGTGTTAAATAAATTAGTATCTCATACATATATATATACATATATACACACAAGTATGTATATATATATACATGTATATATAGCTATAAAATGGCAGCCATTGCTACTGCAATTCATTTAATAAAGCTTTAGTAAAATGTGTTGTATACAGGAAAAATGTACAGTGCAGGGGTCTTTTCATTTAGAAAAGACGGGTCGCTTTTAATGTTATTCTGACTTGCATTGTTTGCCAACAGAGCATATTTTATACCTTTTTATTAGAACATCCAGGACAATTTGAAGTTTGTACCTAAATGTAACTCATTCAATTAGGTTTTGCATTGGCTGTTGAGCATTCTATATGGCTAACCTTGATAATTTTACTTTTAATTAATTAGACAGATGGAACACTCTCTTAGGTATACCGTGCTCATGAGCAACTAATATAGCTCTAGAGAAGTTTAAACATAGATCAAAGGTTAATAAATTATTTTCCAAATCGGTACAGCTGATCAATACGATAATGGTGTTTGTGGAGCAAAAGCCCTTGAGAAATACTGATGTGGCCTTAATTATTATCACATATTGCTCGAAGGAGAAAACAGTATATGAACCGGCGCTCATTTTAACCCTTTATACGTTAAGTTAGATTTAGAGGAGCTACATACTTTATATATTAGTGCCAACTGTGTAGAACAAGAGAAAGAACAGCAGTGAGAGCAGAACCAGTGCCCGTTTTGGCACCAGCTTTTTCAAGTAACGCTGTTACCTGTTAGAAATGTAGGAAGAGCTTTCAATTTGTAATCCTTAAAGCTAAAGTTGAGGCTTAAGTAGAAAGCAAGCAGTTTATCCCGTGAGGTTTTTTGGTTTGGTTATGTTTTTAATGCAACCATACACTTATTTTAATCTAACTCATTCTTTGGCTAGGATTAATAGGAATCAACCTCTGTGATTTGCTTTAGGATAAATTAAAAGGTATATTCTTCAGACCTATTCTATTTTGATGCTAATTCTGTTCTGGGGGAGCATCTTGTACTGTCACTGTTTTTTGTACTAAATCTTCAAATATTGTCTACTGTGTAAGGCAGAACAAATTCTTATCGTGCAAAAGGCCATTTTGTTTTCGGGATAGCAAGTGTCTAAAAGCATGCACAACTTGCTTCTCCCTTGTAACATTCATGAACTCATCCACACTTCTGAGGAAAAAAAAAAAAGATAAAAAAAATTAATTTCTTTCCAACAAGCTATGTAGGGACATACCAGATGTTGCAGTGATTTTAGCTATTAAAAAAGAAATCTGTTAACCATGTACGATATTTAAAATAGGCCTATTTTGATGTGTTGCCTATTATACAGATACACAAAACACTTTTTGGAGGCCTCAGTTAAAAGTGGCAGAGCTTTCTGTGTATAATTTGTCTAAATAATTTGTCTAATAAAATTGTTTTCTAAACTTGCGTTTCCTCCTGCTTAAACGATGGGCACTGTGAGATTTTCCGTTGGTGGCAGGTGTCCACTTCTCACTGTTTTTGCTACACCAGGGGAGAAGGTGTTTGAGTCTTATTTTGTAGTTTCAAAAGAAAAATAATATATACATACATTGGAAGGAGACCTCAATTCAGCGCTCCATTAAAAAATAATGATAATAATCTGAGTCCAGATAACATATAAATCTGAAGGAAATGACTGAAAATGACTTGAGGATAAAAGGTGCTTACAGGCTACTGCCAATAGGCATGTGTGTCAATGGGCACTAAATGCCCAGCAACAGGATGCTAGAGAGTATTACTATAGGTGAAGGTTCCTGTAGTCCCAAAAATGCTTGCATGATCAGAGTCCTACTTTCAGGTTATTCTTGAGCTGTAAAGCCACCATGATGGCATGAGAAGTGCTGTACTCCCGGCCTTGACAAATCATTCACTTTCCATTTAAAGTGAGTATTACGTCTGTCACTTATCCTCCCAAACACACCTATTCAGAGCTGGGTATCTTAAGAGACATAACCTATTTCCTCTTCATAAGAAGCTAATTTAATTCTATGTGACATTTCTCCTCCCTGTCTTTAAATAAAAGCCAGTGAGGTAGAAGTACTGTATTAACGACTGTCAAGCATTTGTGCTGTGATAGGGCTGCTGAAATTACAAGCCAGCTGCACACAAAGATGAGTTGTTTGCCTGGTGATTCAGGTCATACACCCATTCTGATGTATCAGCTACAAGTGAAAAAGTGAGCAGTGGCACGAATTATATTAAACTGGTTTCAAAGATTTGCTTGGTCAGACGGGTCTACTGACTGATGGTGAAATACTCGAGACAGAAAAAATTGTCCTGCTGCAGCAAACAGGTGAGTGATTATAGCTGTCAGTGATCTGGCAACAGCATGGCCAGAGCTGTAGTATTGTGCAATTTCCTCCTGTCTTATCAAAACAAAGTGCTGGTACAATTTCCCTCAATATATCAGGTTTCTAAGATGTATTTTCTCTTTCCACGCTAATGTGGGATGCTGCAAACTGATGAGGATGTAAGGGTGCCTTTTTCTGCTAGCAGACCCACTGCAGCGGGGCCAGAAAGCATGCTGGAGCTTAGTACCCTGGGTACGTTTGATTTCACAAACCTGCGCAAAGGTGATGGGATGAAAAGTAAAGCAGTTTCCCATGTGCACACTTGTGGTTGTAAGAGATGAAAAAATAGTCTCCAAAACAAAAGCAGTGTTGTACCAGCACACTCCCTTGGTCCAGAGACCTGTGTTTCATCTTTGTTCTGTGGAGCTGTTTTGAAATAAATGTCAAAATCAAATATCTGCTCCCAAGAATGAGTCCTAGATACTTTTTTGTGTTAAGTACTGGGATATGAATGCATGCATTCATACTTCACATCAAGACCAGGAAGCAACAGCAAACTCATCACCATCATACCCTGTCACTCGTGTCTCATACATAACACTGTGTGTAAAGTCAGAAATCAAAGCCTCCCAAGGCAGCCTTGTGAGGGCAAAATGTTTCATGGCCTAGTTAATTCCTAACCAAAAGCAATTCCTCCAAAAAGCAAGTCCCTAGGTTGATGCAAGAGTGTGGTGGCCTGCCAAAATTAATTAATTAATTAATTACCTAAAAAAAAACAACTAATTTTGATAGATTTGATAGTCTTGTAAATGAAGTTGCTTTTTATTTTGGCATTCCACAGCAATCCTTTATTCTACTGGTGCATCATCTGTTTGGAGCAAGGAATATTGCTGCTATCAGCCTTTGTAAGGCTAACCACTTTCTTCACCCTCCTCAGCAAAACAAAATAAATAAAAATAAAATGGAGGTGTGAGGGCAGTCACTGAGCTCTCCAAGTAATCACACAGCTGTAGGTGTTTGCTTCAATTCTTCCTCTGAGTCATACTGCAGCTAACATGGCAGCAGAATAACACTGCTGGTAGTTCAGGCTTAGCCTCCTCCTATGTGGAATAGGGAGGTTTGCTCTTGCAGCTCTCTGTGTTGCATTTCATTCCTCCAGGTGAGTGCTTTGCAGCTGGGAAACTGCTTCAACTTCCTCCTCCTTGCTTCCTTCTACATATAGGAAACTGAGCAGCAATAGAAGTTCAAGCGGGTGAGGTCTCAGGGATGCTGCTCACCCCCCAGATTTGATTGCCAAGGCGTGATCCTGAGGCAGCCAGAAGATGCTGCAAGTGCTTCACCTAGAAGCATAGCAGGGAGGTAGCAAATGTTCTGGGCTTGTTGGAAATTAAATAAAAAAGAGGAAGTGGGCAACTCAATGAGCATGTCATAGTCCTGCTGCTGTAGGTAAACTTGCATTTCTCACCTGCTCATGTGTTTCTTGTAATGTGCTGTGGAGAGGTCTTAAATATTGGTTTTGAATACTCCCTGTGTATTTGTCTGTGGTGGACCACAATAGGAGCAATCCCTGTTGATCCATGTCCTTACTAATTAATTCTCTTAACTGTGGGAGAGAGCAAGTAAGCACTGTGGTCAAAGCTCATAGTGTACCACTCGCTATTCTTACACCCTGAAGGAAAAGCCTCTGTGGTGTGGCAGCAACCACAACAAGAAACATGTAGGGTAGCAAGAAAATATGCTGCTCTGTTGAACAATGCTTTGGCAACACCGAGTGGTTTGTTTCGTTCTAGCTTTTACAGATCTGAGCTCTGTCTGTGTAAGCTCTGCTGTTGCTTGGATCTCTGCAGATTTGAGGGATGGCAGGTGATGCTTTCTTCTTATTTCTCTTGACTCTTTGCCTCAAAGAACAAATAAGGTTCCCTAAAATACTTCATATGACCCCCTCAAAAATCCTGCCATGCTATCATAGAATCATAAAATTGAGTTGGAAAGGACCCTTAGAGGTCACCTAATCCTACTGCTCTGCAAATGAAACTCCTTTTCAGTGCTAAAGGTACAGTTATATAGGACATGGGGCTTTGTTTTTCTTCCACCGAGATGATGGGGCAAAAGAAGAGGTTATGAACTTGGAAATACGACTTCAGAAGAGGAAATTGATTGATGCAACCTTCATTTTAAAGACTCACTGTGCCATCTAACAAATGCAGGCCTTGTCACATCAGTGTTAAGACTGCTAGAGTGGTTTATAGAAGAGCAAAACTGATTCCATTAGTATTTTTAAACACTTATTCCGTAAGTTTTGACACATAGAAACAGCTTTCCATCTAAAACCCACAGGTGGCAGGTTATTTTCTGCAGTATATAGTTGCTTGCTGAGGTGAATATGAAGCGTAAATAGAAACTGATCTGGAGTACATAGACAAATTCCTGTTTCGTAGG